TGGCGCTCCGTGGCCGCTCCCGCTGTGAGATTCTCGCCAAGTCCTGGTCCCTAGATGGCATCCAGCTACTCCCACCCTCCAGCCTATAGCCGCCCATTTATGAGGGATGAGAGAGCACAGACAGTTTCACAGCTGCGGACCTGTTCTTCATTAACAAGGCCCGGTTCCTCGGAGGGTATGGCTGCAAACGTAACTCAGGTCTTATCCCGGAGATGCAGTGAACCAGCTGTTGTGGCACATGTCCGTAGAATGCGTTCGAGGGATTGTCTAGTTGAAACAACTACCATCCTATCTTGTGCTGAACAAAAAATGATTACAGCTGTCCGAAACGAAAGAATCCCACATGTGACGCAGTCGCCCTCACGTTCCACTTAAGTACGCAGCCACGCCCAATTCATCACTGGGATATCGGGAATGAGCGCCTTTTCATTTCATGCGTTTTCAGACAGGTGAGGTGAGGCAGCTTCTACCCTTGCTACTCCTTCTGCTCGTGACGAACACACAGCGCTCTCATTATCCACTGTGAAGCCGCGAAAGTTTCACGGTTTGTGACTTTGGACTGGACTACTTGTACAAGGTGAGGAATGTCTCCTATCAGGTAACCACGTGGTCGTATCCATGGATCATGAAGGAAGAATATAGCTAGCTGTCCACTCGACAAATATGGCCGCTCCCCCTTCAGTCATTTCAAAAGCCAAACCAGCCCAACCAGAATTCATGCTTTGTGAGATAAAAAGAAAAAGAGGAATGCAGCCACTCGGAAATTTTTCCGAAGCGTGCCGAATTACATCAGCATTATTAATGAGCCCCTACAAAAGGCATCTAGCCGTGACTACAGCTGAACATTTCAAACTGCTGAACATTTCAGAGATTCGCTCATGAAAAAGAGTTTAGAAGGAAAAGTCGCAAAAACCGAGACTGGAATGGTTCCGTCACACAGCTAAAGTCACATTTCTCGGTTGCAAGATGTGGCTGGTGGATCTAATTGCAAAGTTGTGGATGATAATTAGCTTAGCAGCGAAGGCAAAATAACAGACGAAACCGTTGCAAACGCCTCCGCCCTCCCCCAAGATGGATGAGCAGTGGAAGGAGCGAAATACTGCTGTGTGGGCGAGGTCAGGAGTAAAGTATGAGAGACTAATAGGGCGAGCAGTCCCATGCGTACCTGATCCTCGAAACTCACTCATTCCAAAGGAGTCAGGCTCGGAGTTTCTATTCTTCTGTAGATGGGCGTAAATGCAACCTATATCTCGTCCGCAGTCGGATCTCGGGGAAGTTGGCAGTTTTCTGTGCTTCTTCTTCAAATCATTCTTCCGAGACACTAGAACTCTGTGGTCTTAATGATTGAAGGCCAACTCACGAGGAACATATTGGCGAAGTTTCATCGGAGACTAATGATTAGATCAATCTTCGAAATAAGGAGAGCGCTGATCTCCGGGACACCCAGTAGCCAAGTAATGATGTAACTTTTACTATCTTTCAGTTCTTCCATGGCGAATGATCCGTTCTCCCCTTCCCGCTTGATCTTGCCACACTCTCCGCTCGTATTTTGGACTTGGGCCTTCCGAAATTACTTCTTTTTCCGGCCTTATCAAATCCTTGTTATCTAGTTCTCCGACGGTTAGGGCTTCGTTCAGTTTGCACAGTCTTCTTGGCTGCTAAGTTCACCTGGGCCGACATAATTTTTCTGCGATGTGCTTGCATCCGACTTTTTTCGGAGTTACGTCGCAATTTATCTGCGTACATATGCTCCACTCACCGGACGGAGGTGATGTACTGGCAATTGGTGCCCTTTACCACACGGTCCGATCGCCAAACCCCAAATCAGCTCTCGCCCGGCCCAACGATGCTTTCACTCCATCTATGTTCGATTAGGTGGTACCAGACACGTCTCTCAGTTCCGCCGAACGAGGTTGTGCGATGTAAACTTTTATTGGCCCAACGTTTCGACTTCGACTTCGTCTCTTCGGAGGTCGAAGGTCCCATAAAAAGCCGGGGCTTAGCTCATGCTGTGCCAATGCTTCAGGAAGGGGTGGCATGGAGATTACTGCATTACATCGACAGCCTCCTTAAAGAATAGGATCGACTAAAGTGCACCTAAATTTTATTGCGTTTCTAGGGCGAAGTAGAACGCATGGCGCATTCTAATCGGCAACTGATCAATGACGAACGCTTCAACCTTCATGTTCAACATAGTAACCAGTGGAAATGAGCACTGTAACAGGGTAGTTACCTCAGCAGTAATGAACAGACCAGCCAAGATGGAGAGGTTGGACCCGAGGTGTTTGGTCTGCGTTTGGTGTGAAGAGCGATAAATTCGAAAGAATCAACGAAAGAAGTACATAGTATGATCAGTAATCATTAATTCGAGTGGGATAATTTTTAGGATTTCGCATAAGTATGCTGAAATATTCTGGCTTGGGTAATCTGCGTGAGCTGATGGGGCCCAATAAGGGTGTACTTCAGGCAGTATCTGTGTAAGAACACTATCCACAGGAAAAATCGAACATTTGTAGGTGTGAGTTGTGCCCGTTTAATGACGATTTCGGCAGATTTAATACCGAATTTGAATAATCGGTTTTCGCCAACTCGGCCGTACTCCACCCTCCCTCCCCCAGGTCTGTGGACTTCCCTGGTTTCTCTGTAGCCTTTCGGTATACGCGCCCACCACTGACTACCCCTCCCCTCCCGACAAAATGTTTGAGGTTGTGACGGTGCAAGTATCGAGGGCTCGGATCGAAGAAAATGTTCCTCCGACATGATGTGTCCTGGAACTCTTGCATTCCCATCCGACCAACACCCCATAAACAACTAGAATGATTACCGAGCCAAAGTTTATACCAGGGGTCTCATTCTGCCGTACAAACATACGGGCGTAGCACCGCCCGACAAAGAAGATCAGGTAAACAGACAGCCGACAATATGATGGGCTTCACCCGTTTTTCAGACTGAATTCAAAACAAATACTGCAATGTAGTGCTGATGGACGCTGCACAAGCGTTTTGCCCTGGAAACTAATGAGGAAGTGCGAGCCGTGAAACCTAGGGTGGTGAACTTCCGATATTGCGTTCTTGGAATCAGAACGAATTGTAAGAAAAACCCTAATTAATTGATTTCGTTGCAGTTGTTTCAAACGAGAAATGGTCGTCCGCGTTCCCTGATTGAAAATCGCATTTTCATCCCAAGTCCCTCCTGACCATTCACCGACATTCTATCACGTTTCGCGCTCCAGTTCTCGTTTTTCTTGGTAGACAACCACCAAATGGGCCGTAACATGTCGCATCACCAAAATACGTCTCTGGTTTCAGAAGATGATGTGTTCCGAAGTGGAAGCAGTTACTGGTAGGTCTCCCAGTCCCAGTCGTGTCATCTTCTTAGTGAGTGAACCCACCCGGAGCCGTCATACGAGTGATGCCAAGGCTTACGCTAGACATGGACTAAGCACTCCTGAACGCCCGCCATGCCCGCCCGCCCACAAATGGACGACCGTTCCTGATGCGAGATTCGCACGACTGTCATGGAATACAGTTCGGATAAACTTCGCGATCCTTTTCCATAATCCAGAGATGGAAAACTGCTGCTGTTCGGATTCCCCCGTCTCATTCCGACTGCGCTCATACTTCGCGATATGATCGCTCTGATCGCGCGTGCAATTCAGAGCGATCGGACCCAGCGGTTTGTTGGCGCTAATTGCGCGACCTATGAGCGCAATCTAAGAAATATTCAAGAGTGAAATGGACTTAATTGTAATAATTCAAATTTATAGCAACTCCCTTTAAAGTAATGAGTATTGTCGACTACCAGTCTCATACTTCTTTTTTGATCGTTTCATGCAAGGTCTTCGCTGCATTCTTCGCTGTGAAACTGTCTACCGTATAACTACCGTAGCCTTCTTCACTTAAAGTGCACCTGAGACGGTCGTTCATGTAGAACAAATGTGGCTGCCATGAAACTGAAACTGAAGCAAGAGGTATACATTTCCCAAAAGGGACTGTTGAGATTGATCACCCCGGACTTTATCGGCAAGTTTCGGCAGAGATCACACTCCTTGTTTCCGTGACTCTGAATGTGAAGGAGGAACATGGCGCAATCCTGAAAGGACGGACATAGATGCGCCCTTCAACGAAATGGCATATTACCAAACTGATACCTTATTTTGTTAATTGCTTCAGGACTCAAGGGTTGTATAAGACTTAATTTCACTCATTTCAATCATTTAACTTTTCATTTGCTATATCAATTAAGATTTTCTTAGCAAGGGCGAACAGGAAAACATTGCGGCTGCTTCTTCCTGGCTGATGATATGCCTCGAGAAACACTTAGGATCCATCCAAAGAAGGTGTGAAACGGGACCCATTACGGGAAACCAGTTCGGCTCTCCTTGTTCACGCATTGGTGTGAAATTGCTTTACTTCTTGATCGCTACCGTAATCGCCACGACCCATTGTCGTCGAAGCGCGACCCTTGACGTAATGTATCTATGGCAGTAGTAGCGGAAGCACCAACAGCAGCGAAATGACCCAGTACGTTCATGTGCCATCATAAATCCTTTTCCATTGATTTTTCGTATTCGCTGTGAGTAAAGAGGTGTTGTTGGCAAAACGCCAAGGCAATAAAGCGTCGAGCGCAACGCAGCGCGGCGGCCTCGTAAATCTGAGACGAGGCTCGAACGACGTCGACGAGGCGGATGGGGAGGATGAAGGCGACGAGTCACTGTGCTATTAGAGAACGCAGAAAACCAACAGCTCGAGAAATTGCTCGGTCAGACAGGAAAAGGGCATGTTTTGATGAAAACGTTCAGAATTTTAGACGGGTTTTTCGAGGTAATTTCGACATTTTTTGTCTATGTCGTTTTCGTCAATTGAGAAATGGAGGGGTTGTGGGGGAGGAGGGGAATGAGTGGAGAAGAAAAAAATCAAAATATCACCTCAGACTTCCATGAATTGTGAAGCCACGGGGTTTCAGAAGAGCACGAAATTTATTTGCCCTCCAGGATAGCAATGAATAGCCAGAACGAGGCCAAAAATAGCGCCCAGGTGATCGTCAAGGCCTTTGCGATAACTCTAAGGGTGACTTCTACCTCTGACGACTTTGTGAAGGGTCATGAAGTCAGATACAAGGCCGAACTCCCAGACTCATCACTCAACAGTTCAGTCGCTACTCGGGAATTGTAAGCTACTGTATTCGTTAACAAACCCTCTTTAAAAAGCTCTTTGACCCTAAACCCTTTGAACCCTCCCGCTATTCAACTGGCCAACTGAAGTGGATTACTGCAAAGCTACTGGATATGACGGAACATTCACCTTTATGCTTCAAATTGGCAGTACTGAGACAAGTTCTCAGCTTGTTTTTGTGCCTTACGAGGTTGATAGGTGGAACTATTTATTCAATATGACCTGAATAAATAGTTCCACCTATCAACCTTGTAAGGCACGAAAACAAGTTGAGAAATTACATCTGAAATGCCGAGGTTGCAAGAAGAGAGAAGCTGGAGAGTTCTGAAACAGCTGGAATTCAAAAGTAAGCGGCCGCAAAGGACGGTCAGAAAGGAATCCGAAGTCCGAGAATCTAAGGAATCTGCAGAGTCCCCTATCTCAAGTTTTGAAATGACCTTGGCAGGAAACTGGGTGCCCTTTACTTTCGCTCTTAATTGAAGGGTTCAGCCTAAGGTAGCGCTTTACTAGTCCCAGCCAGGCACTAATTAACCCTGTTGCCCTCAGCAGCTATGTACGACTAAGCCGGTTACTTAACTGGCTACTACTCATAACCAAAGGCCATGCCCAGTCTAATGGCCATGCCACTCCTGCTAGCAATCCATAGCCGCTCGAATGGCGATCGTCGCCAAACCGTAGGTAATAAATTTTGAAGCGTTGGACGAGCGCCGCAGCACGATGGGGCGTGGCTTCGTGCGCTGCGACCGCCGGGCGCGCGATTCACCATAACGCCGCGAATTCACCCCTTGCTCGTCCACCACCACTGCCACAGCACCCATAGCTTCCTATTCAGCTATTCAGTCATAGAGCTAGCAGCACATCCTGATGTGGTGGAGCCATACTGTGCGGACAATTCTTCTTCTCATCGTCGCCTTTAGCCAGCTGCGGGCCGCCTCGATATTCGATCAAGTCAGTTCGATTATTGATCGGTGGCTTTAAGTTTTAATCTGTTTTCTGGGAAAAGATTTAAGTTATCGTTCAGCAAATCCCTGCTCCCCATCGGGGTTGAGATCACTGTTTTATATGTGTTCATATACCTTACCTTATCATCACTTGTGTTTGTAGGTGCCTTTGAAGAGGTCGGACCCTAATACTATTCAAATCGCAGAACAAAGGGGCCGGAAGAGTGAAGAAGAGGTCGCTTTGTAAGGCTTTCGAGCCGACTCGCTTTGAACACTTGTCCTACTTGGGATGCTCTAGTTTTGCATGACCCTTGACTAGGACTTAATCCTGTTTGATGAGCCGCATCAACTCCTGGTCAGCCTTCTCATGAGTTCCCACTCACAAGGAAGGGCTTCGTGCCCGGTGATCTCAGGGGGGTAGATAGAGAGGACTTTTTGTGCCCTTCACCCAAGAATCTAACAGCTTGATCTGTTCATCTGGTGCATTTACAGTAAGGTCCGAAACCTAAAACCTCTCAATTTTTCCCAAAGGAGGGACTTTTTCATTTTTTAGAGGTTTTCTGAACTATGCTCACTGAAATCAGTATGTTTTCAGACCTCGAAAGGAAAGTGCCAACCGATTGAGATCCCGCTATGCAAAGAAGTACCCTATAATTATACGTACTTTCCGAATCCTTACCTTCAACAGGATCAGCAAAGCGTAAGTTTGCCCTCCTTTGTTCTTTTCTTCTTCCTCTCTTTCTCTCTTACTCCTTTCCTCACAAGAGATTCTCAGTCATTACTGGCCTGTACGGCCTCACTCAGTCGACAATAACGTTTTACGAGTTTTTGATAAGATTTTAATGACTCTTACCAAAACATAGACACGAAGCGAGCATTATTATTAGCAGGAAGATGGGACACAGTCTTCTATTTGTGTAGTATTTTCGGAATGAAATCGTTGGGGACAAAGTTTGTTCCAGCAAAAAAGCTCAAAAACTGTCCGTGAGCCATATGGTTCGATTTTTTCAATCTGATGCAGTCTTCCCTCCTATCTCTATCAGGTCCCAATTTGATCCCTCCGATAGAGGGAGGATTGAAGAAAGTCTAGAGAGGCCGCTCACTCGACAAGCATGTTGAGCTGCCCCTTCATCATCCGTGCGACTTGCAGGGCGTGTCCTGCAATTAGAGAAAATTTCTGCAAAATACGACCCCCTCCGCCTTGAAGATTTTCTGCTCTGGTATCACTTCCCTCTCCTCATCATGGATGCAATCTTTCCTTCTTCCCAACTTCCCAATCTTTTCCGGAGAAATTCTCCAGTCGTTCCCCCAAAAAGAGACTGGTTTCGAGTGGTTGGGGCACCAAGACAGGAAAAACCGAGAAAATTTCAACAACCGAACGCATTTTTCTCGGGCCTACAATCCCCCTCTCCAGCCACCCAATACCGCCCCCCCCCTTCCCTACTGGGGATTTCCAATGCATGGCGTGCTTTGGGG